TTATTTTAGTGGGGACGGAAAGGTGAATTGTCTACTAGCTACCAGATCCGAATAATTTCCCTATCTAAAGGTTTAAAAACAAAAGTTGTGTTGTGGTCATCTTTACTTATCGTACAAATCGCGAGTCGCCAGCTGGCGACCAGTTCTGAAAATTTAGTCGCCAGTGCTCAATTTTTGGTCGCATTGGCGACCAGTGAGTCGCAATTTCGAGCCCTGCAGTGAGTACCACAAACAACATCTTAACATTGCTAAAGAACTGGGTGACAGGGTAGGAGAAAGGGATGCTTGTTATCTTTTAGGACGTGATTTGGAACTCTCGGGCGTTCTGTATGAAGCTTGTGAATATTATAAATCCAGTATGAAATTGAGCGAGGTTCTGAGAACTCTTCTTCAGTCCGGATGCATGTAATAATATTCTTCCGTAATGAGTGTCAAGCTATCTACAGCGCTCTATTGAGAACTCTGATAAGGCTTCAAAGGACTAATGAACTCTTGAATGTTGCTGAGAGAGGACGAGCACAGGCTCTGAACGATATCATGAAATTACAGTATTCTGAATGGCTGGCGTGTGGGTCAATAGAACCTGAAGGAACGATGCCCTACATTGCAAGCGATATTGCGGGATATTTTTATTGCGGGCGATATTGTTTTGTTGAATTTTTTTATTTTTTTTGTTGCAATTGCCGTTCCGAAATTTTTTTTCTCCCTTTCCTGCCCTTTTTATCGGCCCTTTTACTCTCGCTTCATTTTGCGTTTCATATTCATTCTAACTGCGGTAAAAAGTTGGATGTTAATTATGGGCAAAGCCTGGAAATGGGGCCTTGATCAATTATAGGTATAATAAAAAAAATTACAATTTCCTCGATTGTGATTGGTTTAAAAAACTCCTATTTTCCACTAATTCACTTGCGAAGTTGTTATCGGACACTTCAATAAGCAAATCACTTTCAAAGTTGTAGTTTAAATCAGCCAATCACAACCTTGGTTTCAATTTACGCTTCCTTAATTTTCCCTTTCTTTCATAACTTGGCTATTCTTTTTTTCTCGGAAACTGTAATTTTTATGATCAATTGCCAATAAGACTTCGTGTCATACAATTAGGTCTGTTATCGTACTCGTGATGAACAGTTATCTCCCGTATTATTACAGACCAAATTGGACTCCACTTAGTTCTATTGCCATTTTGTACGTCAGAATGCCGTCGATATCCAAAACCACCTGTTGTGCAGATAGATCTATCCTATCTCTACTATCTGCTTATCAAGAATATCTGGTTGCATTTAAATTGATGACGTCTCAAGTAGTACAAAGGGCGCGACCACTGAGTATGCGTAAATGCGTCATTGGCAGTCAAAGGGTTAATATTTGAGTATTTTATATAAAAATCAAAGTAAGCGACCACCTAGGCTTGATATTTTGGTGGTCGCTTACGGAAGGTTCGACTGTATTAAATGCGAGTTACCAGAAACCAATTTATTGTAATTTACTTTTGGATGTTGTTCTTACATGGGTTGTAACACAAGAGACCCTCTTCCCCCAAAAATCTACTGGTTGATCACTGACTAAAACTGTTCGTTTAGAGCAGCTACATGTACCGACCTTTAAAGGAGCTCAGTCACGGTTTGCACATTTTGAAAAGTTTAGCCTAAATTTTTCAAATTCGTCGTTTGCAATCCGTGTCAATCTTCGCCATCCCTGACCATCCTTGTTCCTTTATGGTTTATTATTATCTCTCTGATGTTTTTCTATCTTAGTAAACTATTATTTTCAGGTTTCATTCCATTTAAAGGAGATTTTGTAAGTGGCCAAAAAAAAAAAAGACAAAACACCTCCTTTAAGAACAGATTTCAACCCCATCCCCCCCTGGGGGGACTCCCCTATAAAAAGGCCGGGGGTGCTCGTGGGAAATTTAGAAAAACAAAAACCCTTAGAGGTACCAATTCTGAAACAAAACATTACTTCCTGTCATATTTGTTCAGTTCAATACCCTTTAAGGTACCACAAACGCTCCCGCTGTGGACCTTTTGGAGCTGAACACCCTCAGAGGTACCCAAACCGCCATTTTAACTAAAAAAAGGTAAAAGGTACGACGAGCAACTCCGTCAATCTTATATGGGAGTCTTTCCCGGGATTTCGACAAAAAGAATTTGAACAGAAAATCCCGGCACTGGTCTGATCAGGTTTTTAGGTACTGTAACCCAACAGAAAACAACGGTTTTAGCTTTACAGTTCAACCCAAGTGGAGTTTTTCCGAGAAGGAACTGACATCTTTGGCCTGGGAACTAGAAGAAGCACGTAGCGCGAAAGCCTGGGAATGAAGTAAATTGTAAGAGCCAACATGGCGACCTACTTGCAGAGAAGAATGTTGTCTGTCTTCGTTCGCTTTAGCGGTCTGTCCATACGACAGTCCTTACCTGCAAGGCACAATCCTAGCCTGAAGAGAAAGAAAAATCTGGCTGTGAAGAAAAAGAAGAAAACTCCTTCGTTCAACGTTCGTAAAACAGAAATTGTCCCTCCAATTGATCCGGAATCCTTGTTGAATGCAGCACTCTTGGAGGCATCGAGACAACGACACCCACTCGAGGTATCGCCTGAAGAGCAAGAGCGACGAATTTTACTGTTAAAAGAGTGGTCGAGACACAAGATGCAGCAGCACAAAGAAGATCTACAGCGTGTTCAAGAATTGGAAAGGTGTCGCGAAGAAGCCTTGAAGGAACTCAAGAAAAGCTCGTTGCATCTTTATGAACAGGCTATTCAAGTCGGCGGAGATCTTTTCCCATTGCAGTTCAAGGGCCCGACGGAGACGCCACCGATAGCTGACTACATGGCACCTGACATGGATGATAAAGTTAAGGGTGCAAGTAAAGCCAGACGTTAATCAAGGTGATTAATCAAGTTGATTAATCACAGACAGTATTGTTGTGACACATTGGATGTACATTAGTTTTTATTACGTAAATTGGGAGTAACCCTGCGTAAGTCATTTCATCGTGCAACAAACTGCAGACTGCAGATCTGCAATCATTTACTTGCACACCACTCTAGCTAGCTGTAGTTAAAATGAATTTATGGCTCTCCCTTTCTTCCTCAGTCATAAGGAAACAGTTGCATACAGTCA